TGCTGAACAGGACAGCTGCTTCAGCTGTCCCCCGTCCCCCTGCACGTACAAACGGACACAGAAGACCCCCTGCCACGTGGATATGCACAGCAGTTGTCATTTTTCACCTGAACGGTCAGTAGAGAGATTTCAGGTTTGTATCCTTGGAGCTACCTGTGTCCTGTGGTTGCTGTCTTCCACGCACGTTTCCACAGGCAGCGGGAAGGGCTCAGCACCACACTGAGGTCCGTCCATCAGGCAGGGCCAGAAAAGTGACCCTTCTCCTGCAAATACTTAAAAAAACCCAAATCTTGCAATAAAATCAGTCTCAAAACACTCAAGTCTAAAATTAAAGTTTATTTCAGTTTTAGAAAGAAACAGGAAAATACGTACATGAATATCTTAGAGTTACACAAGTGACAGCGCGTTGTTTCTTTTCCACGTGTAGTTCCCACTACTGCCTGGCACTTTGAGACAACTCGATGTATTTCTCAGTGCCTTTTAGATGTTTTACAACACACACACAGAAAAACAGCTTCCAGTGGAAATCTGGGAAATACTAATCCACCTCAAAAATCAAATTTTCAACTTGGTTCAGTATTTGGTACAGAAAAGACGCATCCTAAACATGACCTAGGCCAGCAGCACGCAGGTACCGCTGGTGACCACCACCCTTGGAGAGCAGGCAGCTGCCTTCCCCGCCTGCGGGTGTGCGAACTGGGGCTGCCTGACCGAGCAGCGCTCGATAGCTCACCTGCTGTGCAGCGTGTCATCTGCCAGTCCCATGGGCAGTATTTGACAACGGTATTTAAAATTTTTTTTCTTCCCCCTAAGTGGCTTACCCAGCATTTCTTTGCAGATGCAGCTCTCAGTGCGACCGAAGGGAACTTGGCCTGACCAAGGAAAACAGGACTGCGCTTTGCTTCGCACACGTACAATCAAAAAGTACGGACCACTGATTGACAAAGTGTACTATCAGCAGATAATGTACCAGCTGAATAATCTGTATGGAATACAGATTATCATATATACCTAATTCTGGTATGAATACAGGGTCTGTCATTAATAGCTTTTTTTAAAAAAAAGTAGCGGTCATATTGATTTACCTGGCTCAGTTTCAAAGATTAAACTCTTTACCACTAGTTCACCGCCTTTTCCACTTACACAGTCTTTAATTCCCATGCAGAGGACAGCAGATTAAGCACAAGTGACTGTGCCTGATGTTAGGCCAGTGTTTGAGCACTTTGCTGGACTGGGACTAAGGCCATCAGCTCCTTGCACGACGGAGCACTGGAGAGACATTGAAAGCAAAGCAACAACAACAGAAAAAAAAGTCAACTCACCATGCCTAACTCTGGACTCTGAATTTAGGCACTCACATTGAGAAGCTGTCTCCCTGAACGTTCAGCA